TTGTCTATATTGTGAATGAAGTATATAGTGCTAGGTGTTGTAAATCTCTTTTAATAAAGTGGGGTATTTATGTTGTATTTTATCAAATAAAATTGGCACTTGATACTCATGTAATTTTCAAGTGCTGATATTAATGTTGTTTATGGTATTGCTTGATTGATGAATTAGTTAATGTGATTTTTATATTATATTTTAATCACTTGTCCTCACTCTATTTTTGGGGTTAAACACTTTACCATCCCCTTTAACCCCCTCTTCCACAGAAAAAAAATTGGAACGTTAAGATAAAAAGGAGAAAGAAAGAAAAATTAAGGAAGAAACATTGTGAAAAAAAATGGAAAAATAAACAATAAAAGAAGAATTTTTACCAAGCTTAAAAAAAAAGGGATCTCTTGTTATAAAATACTTCGGTTACCATTATATAAGTATAAGATTCACACTACTCAACCTCCTCAATACACAACTCAATAGTTTAAATATGAAATTTAATTGAAAAGTATATACTCTCAAGAGAATATATAAACTCCTCAGTAGTAATGGTAAAATAAAGGCTTTCAATGGGACTTATAATCAAGAATACACACCAAATCTAAAAGTTTTACAAAAATGACTCAACCCTTGGAACAAAGAAATACTTAACATTATAATTGATCAAAAACTTTGTCAAAAAAACAAAAGTAAAATTCTTAATTTCACAGCATGTAACCTCACTATAAATATAAAAAGGTGGTATAAGCTAAAAAAATAAGAAAAGGTTGGGAAGAGCAAATCGTAAAGATAAAATATCAAATAACAAATTAAAGGATTGATACCTATCTTACGAAATCTTTAATTTATCTTGGTATATATATATATTAGGTATTATGCAATGAGTATTGAAAGATCAAACTCAATATTGTGGGGGTTCTCAACACTAGCAAATGCAAACCAATAACATAAGTTTTTCATTAAAAAAAAGCAATGAACATTAAAGGGAGAGCAAATTTAAGCATATTGATAGCTAAAATTTTAAATTTTACAAAACGCTAATACAGATCTAGATTTAAAAGAATATAAAGGATTAAAAATAATAACATAAGTCCCAAATGCTATAATAAAGCACTGCCAAAATATTTACCCTTTAGGAACAAATTTCAATGCCACCAATGCGAGTATATTAATTAAGGTTTACACCCATCCTTTTAAGACTAAATTTAGTCAATCCATTTTTGTTAATTAGTATAATACCTAAATATGTGTAAACTGAATTAACTAAAATTAAGAAAAATGTATTATTTCACATCCTTAAATTATAGAATGAATAATTTGGTTAGAAAACTTATAGGATAAAGTTTTTAAAGCTTAAATATCAACCATAAGATAATAATTATGTAATTATATTTATATTTATATTTAATCCATAAATTATTATTTCTTATAAAAATAAATCTAAAAGTGATATAAATTGTTAAAAAATTAAAAAGAAAAAATAGAAAAAAAAATTCTTTATCTTTTATTTCAGTTGTTAGTTTCATATTAAAATCTTTTAGTACTCTATCAGAGTCAGAGCTACTTCTCAGTTTTGCACGAGTCTCCTCAGCATCTGCAAATAAAGAAATTAGTGAAAACCAATCCAGCACACTTAGAAAGCTATCTGCATTCCTGTTGATGGTCATGAATAGTAAAAATGATAACTGATTTTCCGGCCTTGAAACAAAAGCAAGACTTTCTTACATTTCCACGCAAAGCAGCTTAAGGATTGGATACCTTTGGAGAGGGAGTTGTCTGTAAGTGGACTAGTGTCAGCCATGCAAGGGTTATCCCAGTATGTTAGCGTTATTGTCGAGCTCCAAGTTCCTATAAAACATAGCCTTTTGACAAGCGTAGTAAATCTTGGTCAAGATCACACTTCTAGTGGAGGCTGTGGATCAGACAAAGAAGCAAGCATGATGAAAAGCTGGAAAAAAGAGAAGAAGAGGACGAAATGTACCTTGCTTGGTCTAGGAGAATTGGAAGCGTGCGATCTTTGATCTGTAGCCATACAAAAAGCTGCCAAAGTCACAAACACGACAAAGGTTAAACAAAGAAGTAGCTATGGAAGGAAGGACAAGAAAAAAAAGAAGAGAGCATCAGAGCGCAAGTGAGCAGCCATTTAGCAAAGGTTTGCTTGTCCTTCTCGGTGATTTGTTTGCTCATCACAGCCCAAGAGACTAGAGCAAGCAAAATCAAAGAGAAGAAAGAACCTATAAATTAATTATATACCTTTTGTGAATCAGAAGCTAAGCATTCTCGTATTTGTTAGATTCTTCTCTCGCAAATTCCTCTAGAAGTTGCCAACTAGCTATCACTCATGGTTCTGGAGAATCAAGAGAAAGTGAGTGATCAACACAAGATCACAGAGCACTCGCAAGAACAATAGAACAAAAACTTATATGTTTACATGGAAGTGCATGTATTGATTGCCATAAGTATGTCATTGCGTAACTCGGAAGACAGAGAAACTAAACTCTCAAATTGTCTTGCATCACTTGTTTCTGACCCGGTTGAGTACCAAGCTTGACCTGTTCGTAAAACCAAGATCAAAATCCATGTCCTTGAAAAGTATAGCCTACCCTCAACATGACTGATCCTGCTAGTGTTGGCACTTCAATGGTTCCACCCATGGCAATGGCGTCAAATCCAGGACAATGCCAAATCAGCATTAACTATAGTTCTGGAAAAGGGAGAAAGAATGAGCAAGAAGAACAAAAAAGTGCCACTACTTCTAGAAGTTCGTGGGATGACAATTGTGCCTGGGCATACATAAGAAGAAGAAGAAGAAGAAGCTAAGGCATCCCTGTCTTTCAAAAGCACAATCACCAATTTGCACGGAGTGACCCCACTAGGCATATAAGATCTTTAAGAGACCATGACCAATTGTTCACCTGCAAGATCGAAGCCAAGCTCTACAATAAGCTAAATGTGGAGAACACGATTCTAGAATTCACACAAGAGCAGACTGAGATAAAATCCCTCCAAGCTAACGGGGCTGTCCAAAATTTGAGTTGAGCTCATTTTAAGCCATCTTCAAAAACGTTCATTGACTTTAATTAACTGTCATTGACTTTTTGAGTTTATGAGATGAAAAGTAGTACAGGCTTCCAGCGAACAAAGAGAGGGATGACGGTAGAGCTCTTGTGGGCAACAAACACAGCATGGGTGGCAGCTGCACTCACGCCGATTGTCAACCGTCTCTGGACCACCAGTTTGCCGGAGTTATGGATGATCAACAGGGTTGTGCATGTACATGAACAGGGGACCAATTATCACTGTGTCTAGCATATTCACAAAAATCCTTGCCCGGGTATGGGCGGAGGAAATTCAAATCTCGAAGCAGGTTTTCAGAGACATCACTCGTGCCTGGACCACCTGCTTATGAATCAGGCTAGGCCACAGCAAAGTCTTCATATTGTGGTTTGTGGATTTTGCCCAGGTATTTGACTTGGTGCCTCGCAATCTCCTCATTGAAACTATACCCTAGATGTTTGCTGGGGGAACAGTACCTTCAATGATGGGTCTGCTATTGCCTGCTTTGACATGTTGGCACGATTCTGCATACCAGCGGGTATGCGTCCAAGACGCAAGTCATGATATTTGGCAATCCATCATCTCGTGAATGCCTCTACAACGGGGAATCTGTGGTGGAAACCATCGAATACATGTACCTCGGCTATACAGCATCAGCAGCGCGCATGGACGCAGGGCATTAAAGCTGCACAACTGGGTTATTACAGCCTCCAATCTGACTGTCACAACAATGCCATAACCAATTCTAAGGCAAAGCGATCTTTCTATATGGCTGTGGTGGTCTTGGTGGCATTGTACGCCACTGAGTCGGGGCTCCCATGCTACATACGGGATAGGACTTGAACATCCAAGAGCTACATGCCTACACCATCATGGTACTGGAAAGCTGTTTGCTTCCACTAGAGATCCTGGCATGGAAACGAACTATTGCTCTGGTGAAGGCATTGCGCAGGGACCCTCGGGAAAAGCTAGCCTCTTGAGCGATGGAAGATTCATATATGAACGAAAGGGAGGATGGTGGCATGAACTCAAAGCATGGACCGAACAAGGCCTGGATCTGGAACTGGTGGTCTCCGACCCACTCGATGACTACTCAACATGAATGCATCAAGCGTTGCACCAATGGCTAGCGGTGCCACTAAATATGACATCTATTCAACCCCACAGGTTAGGCTGCGTCGCACCCTGGGTGAGGACGACCCTGGCTACCTATTGCCGTGGGGCACATCGACTGCAAGTAGAGCGTGGCCGCCATATAGACTGCATATACCTCACAATCAACTCAACAGGCCAAGGACGTAAATTTTCTTGCAACTTTTGCGAGCTTGCAGTCCACGACAGAAATCTCCGCTCCAAAAGGTCGACCTCTGACCGCAAAAACTAAACATCACCAAGCTTTAATAAACATCACAATGAAAGTTCAAGATTGTTGTTGCACTCATAGAACCATGCCATGGAGGAGGCAAAGCCTAGGCTCAAGATAATGCTCGATGATATTGTGTAGCACAGTCGTGTTCCTCTGAATCCTCTCATTGTTTTGTTGTTGTCTCTCTCTCTGCTCGCTGGAAATTACTGCGCACCTGCCAAGTTGCCCAGACAATCGAGACATTGGGCACCACAAGTGAATGGCCAATGGCCAATGCGGAGATGCCGGAGAGGTCGTGGACGAGCATGATCCCGGGAAGAAATCTTGTGTTGTGGTTGACGGAGGCTTTGGCCCGAAATTCACAGGGTGAGGGAGTGATACCTTATTGGTCTGCATTGCAGAAGATGAGTCAGTGATTCTTTTGATCAAGCACCTGGGAAGGCGTCATGATCTTCGCGATGGATTCAATCTCCTGGAAGCGGAATTTGGACTTGACCAATCTTATAGTTATGATTTATTTAATTAAAAATCACATCTTAAAAGCATAAAGAAGAGAATATCCATCCTCTTTAGAAACTTCAACAAATAATCAAGGCCATCGATGGCACGCATTTGCTAGGTGGAGGTATGTGATTTCGTTGAGAGGATCCAGAGTGAGAGCGTGTTGGGCTGCTCGAGCCCCGCTGTGGATCTGGTTGATCTGACTCATCGAGCTTCCCAGCAGGCACAGCCAGTCTACAGGCTGTGGCTCCGATGGCATGCCCTTGATCACACTCTCAGCAGCCGCTACATCTCCAGCTCTAGCGATGGCATCCAGGAGGCAAGAGTAGTGCTGTTTACTTGGTTGTAGATGGTGATCCACAACCATGGATCCAAAGCACCAGTAGCTCAGGCTAGCATCTCCCGCGTAGCTAAATCCAATGAGCATGTTGGTGAAGGTGGTCTCGTCGGGGCTTACACCCTCCATGGCCATGTCTTGCAAGAGCTGCCTAGATGCCTCCACCTGGCCTTTACGCGCATGGGCTGCCACCATGGCGTTCCACGACACAGTGTCGCGCTGCCACATCATCGCCAAGAAAGCCCGAGCCCGCTCCAGGTGGCAATGCCTGCAGTATGCCGACAGCATGGCATTCCAGCACACTACGTCCCTCTCCGCCACGTCATTGAAGAGCTGGCAGGCCTGCTGCACATGCCCAGACGCGGCAAGCCCGGTGATGGTGACGAGGCAGGACACCGTGTCCCATTCAGGCAGGCCATCCAGAAACGCTTTAGCGGCACTGGCCTGGCCACATCGGCAGAGCCCAGCCAGCATGGCATTCCACGTCACTTGGCTCCAACAGGGCATGGCATGGTAGAGACTCCAGGCATGGTCCAAATGCCCTTCAACGGCATTTGCAGAAACTATGGCCGTCCAGCAGAAAATGTCAAGCTCTGGAGCTCGATCAAATACTTTAATGCTGTCTTCCAGTTTTCGATTTTCTGCCATTGCGTGTAGCACTGTTGTAAAGGAGATGAGATTGTGCTGGGGCATGGATTCGAAGAAACTTTGAGTGTCCCGCAAATGCCCGGCTCTGGCATAGACGTTGAGCATCGCAGTGGCGGAGACGAGGTCGTGTTCTTCCATGTCCTTCTCGTAAATCTCCCGGGCCTCGCTCACCATCCCCTCGCGCGCCAATGCCGCCAGCATTGTCGTGGAGGAGACGCCATTCCACTCGGGGATGGAATGGAAAACGTCCCGCGCGGTGCTGATCTCGCCTTGGCGCTGCGTGTACGCCGTGAGGAGGGCGTTCCATGCGACGAGATCGCGAGCGGGCATGGCCTGGAAGAGGTGCCGTGCGCCCTCCAGATCACCGGCGCCGGTGTAGGCGGAGATGATCGACGCCCAGGAGAAGGCGTTCTTGGCTTCGTCCGGGATGAGGCGATCAAAGACGAGGCGCGCGTTGGCGATGGCGCCGAATCGCCCATACATCTGGACGAGGAGATTGCAAAGGAAGACGCGATTGCCATGGCGCAAGACGAGGCGGGATTGCGCGTCCTGGAGCTCGCTCACACTCCTACACGATCGAATGGCTAGAGCCTCGTCACTATCGCGCATCTAAAGAATTGCAACCTGTAGAATATGCTAGAATTTAAAACATTTTAACGGTAGCGATCAAACTTGGAGAGTAACATCGAAGCCCACGATTGTGGCTCTGTTGGTGTTCGATGTCGTGTTGAGTACTGCAAATCCTCGAGCCATTCGAAACTTTCCAGTGCCTCCGATCACCGCGATCTCGCGCTCCGCTAGCAGGAACCTGTCCGCGCCATGAAAGCTTATGGTGCTGCCATTCTCACTCCCGCGGCTAAACACCGCCGTGAACGTCAGGAGCAAGCTGGAGCCGTCCAGCGCGCTGATCATGTAAGTCCCCTGCGCTCTTCCAACCGGCTGCGACGCGGGCGAGGGGCCCTCGGTGAGCAGATCGTCGATCACCATCACCGCTCCAAATGCGGCTGTAGAGTTCGCGGAGCCCGCGACCCGGAGCACCGTCCTCGGCGAGAGATTGAAGTTGTCGTGCATATAGAACTGCATTCTGGAAGGCGCGGCATACCCCCACTGAGCTAGCAAGAAGATCGAGAGGCCAAGCACTGCCGCTTGGAGCACCTCCATTCTCTCGAGGACTTCGATCTGGACTGCCGCTCTCCTGAAAGCATGAAAAAACCAAGGCTTTAGAAACGTCTATAAAAAGCAGAAGAAAATCAAAGGTGGACTCACCAGTCAGAAGCGGGCACCACTGTCGCGCACTAACGAAAGAATGAGTCATAAAGAAGCGACTGGAAAGCGAGAAAGCGGGCGAGAAGTGGGAAATTATTTTACACGAATTTACCGTCAGAGAGCCTCCACCTTCCTCCTCACTGGAAGGTCAAGAGCAACAAACCAACAACCTTTCTAGACGTTACCGACAGCCGATAACGCAGCACGCAGAACTCTAGCTCGCTTCTAGCTTAGCCGGATTCGTTGACCGGGATAGATAACATGTTTGTCGCGAATCTGTCACAAACCTGAAGCTCAGTCCGGGACTTCCACGAGTTTTACAAGCCTTACCTGAGGATTCAGACGATAGAAATTGGAGTCGGGGTCCTCCCATTCATCGGGAACGATGCTGCTCAAAGTTTCTCCCTTTTGCACAATGTGATACCTGCGGGCTTTGAGTCAGTTATCGCTGCGTAGAAAGGCCAAACATGTAGAGTATACCTTTCTTTGATTTTGGAGGATCCTCTTCTACACGGGACAAAGCAGGAAAATGTTATACTTTGGATTTATATAAAAATACGACTACCTTGGCCACACAACGATGGCACCAGCTACAACAGCTGCTCCACTCAGGACCTGCGAGGGACCAGCGCATAAGATGGGAAGAAGTGAGAAAAATTGATACACCTGCTTCACGAAGTTCTTTACACCCCCGGACACCTTCCTATGGTTTGCCGGAGAAGATGAAGGAGAGGAACTGCCCGAGCTCGAACTCTTCAAACAATGCGAAATCACGTCAACACTCAAAGAGAATTTCTTTTCCAACCTCTTGTTCCAGGGGTTTGTCCGTTGCAGCCATCAGTTCTGGATGTTGAGCCGCCGAAAGTTCTCTCTCAATTCTGTGCTTCCTCCCGTGTTTTAGTGACCACCTTGTACCATGCTCTGATCCCGGAGGACTTGCATGCCTGACCTTGGAGGTACGCCTCCAAGGTCCCAGCTCCTTGGCTCGCCAATCCTCAAGCTTCTGTTTGACTGTTTTCTGCGAGTGTTTCACTTGATCGCGAAACTTCCCTTCCTCTTGCGAGTGCGTCTTCGATCTCAAGCCTTCCTGTTTACAGGATCCGGCCTTCTCACTCGATCGGTCTAGATTTTTTATCCACTCGTCTGCTTTAGCTGCTTTGGCAGACGTAGATTTGTCGATCTTACTCTTCAGCTTCAAGTCCTCCAGCCACTTACTATCTTCAGCTTTCTCCACACCAGACTCTGCCCTGTTCTCGTGTTGTCTTCTAGACAGCCAGTTGAAATTCTGCGATAAAGTTCTGAGTGAGATTCAAAAGAAACAGAGAAACGATACCTTGCGCCTGCTACTATCAGAATTAGCCTCAGCCGCAGCGGGATTTGATGCTGGAGTTGCAGTGTCAGTAGCAGTGGGAGCTGTTACATCGCAATGTTTAGGAGGAAGATCCGGCTTCAAGGTAGTTGCCAGCTCGGGTTTTGGACCAGAATGTTTCCGTGATAATTCCTCAACCTTTTCCGTTCCACGGCCAGAAGCATCTTCGTCGTCGGGCAGACCACTGCGAGTACCCGCTTTGGAAATCTCTTGTGGAACAGTATCCAAGTTTTCGGCCTCCTCGGAACTGATTTCAGTGATCTTAACGTTAGAGACAGGTGCTCGGCGAGACTTGAACGACTGACCGAGTCCTTTCCGTTTCTTCGTGGCTGCCAATCTCTGCAGATGAACAAGTTATGGAAGTTACCACAGATCTGTTTGTATACCATTGCTTCGATTTTTCTTCGCTCCTCCTCCGATAGCACGAAGCTGACTTTTACGTGTATGCGACCACCGGCTTTTAAAGCAATGAACGAATCCTGAAAGCCTTTCTGTACAATTCCAGGCGTCTCGAGTTCTAGAAAGAAGCAAGAGTTAGCAAAACTTCGTTCCCACTCTCCAAAGCTTACCAGCTCTAGCAACGACATCTCCTTTGCTATCCAATAAAGAAACCAGAAGGTTGTCCCGGAGATTAAGCACAGGACTAGAAAAAATCACGAAGTATGTTAAAGAGAGAAGTGAGCCACTCGAATGAAAACACGTACAACAGATACTCCAAGTTCCAAGGCTGCGTTCGACCATCTTGTGGCTCTACAGACGATGTTTGAAACTCTCGCCTTCCAACAGAAACTAAATAATGAGGAGTAAACAAACAAATGGTGAGAAGTGAGAACGAAGAAACGATGAAGTGAGGAACATCGGACCTTTCACAGCGACAGACTTCCCATCTGTTTATGAAAATATAGAACACCATAAGAAATCGGTGGAGGAAAGCTGGACGAATCAATTACCTGTGACAGTGGAAGGCAAGTCGATCGCTTCCAAAACTGCAAGCCACGAAAACAATAAATCACTCGAGCTGATTCTTTCAAAGAACAAAGAAGAAGAAATAATCACCAGCAACACGTATGTTTCCTGGCATTTTTTCGCCAGACCCTTGTCAGTCAGCTGCTGGAATCGAAAACTTGTCTAGTGCTAGGCAAGAATGCACTACATCTCCTGCCATAAGCGACACAAATCCCAAGCGCCGGAGGAAAATGGGAGACGTGAATCGCCCACTTCCCCCTCTTTCCGATCATCCGCCGGCGCTCATGAGAAGCAACCTAAAACCTCGAATTCCCTCACGCGCGCGACGGCGCTGCTGGCAGAGATCCCTCGCGCCACCGCATCCACGCGCACCGACTGATCGCTCGATCTGCCCTAGCTCTGGCCGCGAGAAAAAATGGAGGGAGAAACAAAGAAAATGAGACGAATAGCGCATTGACGGGTGACGGGCCACCGCAGCCGTAGATTCCCCCACCGATGGGAATATTCTCCGCGATGTCGGGCCTCAAATTTCCTGTGGTGGCTGTCAGCCGTGCCAAGCGAATGGTACTATAGATTTTTCTTTTCTCTCCTTTGTAAAGATCAATGTATTAATCAAAGGAGGATGGGGACAAAGGCGATCACCCAGAGGATCTTTTGGAATAATCTCGGCATCGTCTCGCTGCTAGAAGCACGGGGGGTAGCGCGTGGGAATTCTTCACTTTGGGCTGGCATTTGTCTTGACACTCAGAATCCATGTTACTTGTCACCATTATCTCCCACAGAAGGAAACCCTGTTTTTAGGGTTAGGGCTAATGTAACAATGTAATTTTAAAAGGTGTAAAGTTCGAAATTAGGGCTATCAGAAGAATGTTTTTAAGGGTTTAAAGTTGGGAGTTTAGGGTTCTTACTTTAGGGCAGGAAGCAATGAGCGGGAGCCCGCTTCTGGAACCGATGAGGAGGCGCAAGTCTGGATCTCCAGCGGCGATGGTGGAATCGCTAATGCGCCCGGAATCGCCATTGCGGCCCAGGGTTTTGGCGCCGCTCTTCACCAATGTGGCCCTGTCCGAGGAGAGAGGTACGCGAGCTGCGACCGCTGGCAGCGACGATTGTTCCCAGAATGTGGATCCCGACGAGTCTCCTTCCAAGGGGCTGTCGCCGCATTCTCTAGCAAGGCTTGTGCCGAAGGATGTGGCGAAGCTCGCAGCGTCCGGGAGAGGCCGGGATGCGCTGCTGGGTATGGTTGATCCGCAGCCCGACTGGACGCTGGGCGATCTCAGGGACGAGCTGGAGGAACTGACGGAGAAGATGAGCGGGTCGCGGCTTCGCGAGGAGGGGGACTTGCGAGAAAGTGAAAGCGTTCCTCAGCAACGGTATGGATCATGTCTTTAGTATTCGTGAATGAGCGTTGTGTTGGTGATCATAGATTGTGTGCATTGTCTGTAGCTGGGGGCTGAGCGAAGAAGTAGCCGACTTTAACAGGATCAGCAAACCTTTCGTCATGCGGCTCGATGATGAAGACTTTGAGAGCTCGGATGACGATGACGATGATGAGGAGGAGGACGTGTTCAGTCAAAATGATCCGGGACGTGATAGACAAGCTCCTGTTGTCCACAACTCTTCAAGGTTGGTTGCGAGATTTACTTTTCTTCTCTTGGTTTAAGGCAAAAATTCACAGCGTTCGACAGGGTTCTAACGCATAAATCTCCATATGACGAAGACGCCATCTTCTTAACTACAAGCAAAGTAGAAGCAGCTCTTTTTGAAGCTGAGCGATTGAGAATTCTTCGAGTCCAGGTTGGTTTACACTCTTCTCTAATTGGTGTTAAACGTGATCTTAGGAGGAATTGAGACAAAAGAGGTTTCAATTAGAATCCGCTCTTTTGGAGGAGACACAACGGTCAGCTGAAAAAATTGCACAAGTTATGAAAGACGAGGAGGCGAAATGCGAGATGACTCGTCGAAGTGATAAGCAGTACCAGCGCTTAATGTGTGTGTGCCTTCTCTTGTTTATTTTTCTGAACGGATATTGAAATGCGGTTTGGCAGTGCCGAGCAGCGTGATAAGCACCTATCAGCATTGCAGCGTGACCATGAACAACGTTCTCAAGTTGAAGAGCGGAAAATTAAAAAAGACGAGGAGGCACAGAGAAGAGAACACTCCGTTCGAGAAGAAATGGAACGGCAACAGAAAGCGAAGGCTGACGCAGAGGTATTCTTTTCAGGGTTTTAGCTTTAGGCGCACACTGACGAGGGGTTTAAAGATTGCAGCAGCTAAGGCGGCTGAAGCACAGCGAATAAGAAAACTGGAGGAACAAGTGGCAGCCGAAGCTGAAAAGAAACGGCAAGCCGAGGCTGCCCAGAAAGCTGAGGCAGACCGAAAGGAGAACGAAAGCGCGAAACCGTCGCGAGGAGCGCCTCAACTAAGAGTCTCAAAATCTGCAGCGGACAATGAGATGGGAAGAAAGAAGATACTCCAACAACTAAATGAAGCTTCAAAGTCATTGCAGGCGAATCCTGTGTTGAGGAAGGTAGAGTTGCTTTTTCTCTTCTGTTTTTTGGATGATGAGCAAATGGATGTTTTTCCCCAGAACCTCAAGGCTTTGGGATTTCAAATAGGTAAACTGTGGAATCAAGTTGCCGCTACAGAGGAGCAAGTGAGGTACAAAAACAACTGTAGTTTGATCGTCGTAATGCTTTTTTGTTTTGTTTTTGTTCTTGAAGAAAGGTGTCAATGGAGTTTTTGCAGCTGGCGAACAATCCTCAAAGCCAGCCTTTTGTCGTTTCAACACTAGCGTCGAAGGTTTTACACATGATATCTCGAGTTTCACAGCCTGACGCGGTCGAATCTTTTGCTGGCAGCTTATGTCTCAGTGTGAGGCGCAGGTCTTAAGGGCCCCGTCATATGCCTTTGTGTTCGCTCGAATCGTCGTTAACGTGTCAAGTCAGGTAAGTAATCCATACCGATGTTATCGAAACTGGACTTGATTTCTTCTTCTTGGTAGCTTCCGGTTGTCATGGACGCTGTTCTTGCGCATCTGAATGTGGTGTGTATTTTGACTGTTCCAAAGTACTTCATGTACAAGAAGGTAACTTTCTCTAGCTTCTTTTTCCCCTGGTACTAACGGATGAGAATTGTCAGGGTGATTACGAGAGTGACAAGAGCTATTACAACATGCTGGGATTTCGCGAGGACGATTCTGGCACTCTGGAGACGGCAGATGATTACGTTGCACGGATGACTGCGTACGTAACTCTATATGCCGCCATCACGCAGACAGGAGGAACAAACGGGCACGGCATTGCAAATGGATGGAAATGGTGCGCGCAACTCCTCAACCATCTTCCCGCAAATCGCTACAGCGCGTCCGCTTTGTTTGCTTTTCTCGAGGTTGACTGCTTTTTGTGCCACAAGTCTTTACTTTATTTCTTTCTTTTGGTGTAGACTGCAGGATTCCGGCTCTACCAGTCGTATCCAAAGCCTTTCATGAAGCTGATGAACACCATCGTGACAAGATTCGTTCCACTGCTCCAGAAGCACAACGATCCGGATGCTCGCTCCGTGCTTAACCGGCTCGAGACTTACCTGGGAACGAAACAGTTCACCAAAAGGCCCAAAGACGAGCTCACACAGCAACAAACTGTCTCGGCAATCGCTCTCAAGGAGGCGTCGTGGTATTAAACGAGGTACACATTTACAAAGAGGAGGAGAAAAAAGAGAAACGAGGATACCGAAGTAGGAAAAAAAGGAGAACCGAGGAAACTAAGCGAAGAAGGAAAGAACGACCTCCCCTCAAGCCGGTCTCCAGCCAAAGTGGCTCACGATTGCGAAGTAGAGGCAGCTGAGGCCGATGTAGAGCTTCATCCAGAGGAAGGAGGCGACGAGGTATCCTAGGACGAGCGTGAACGCCGCTACTCCGGTGAAGTTTGCCAGGGACTTGCTCGTCGGGAGCTTGTCCTCGATGCTTCCTCCGGGAGAGAAGTAACCCTTCTTGATGAAGGAGCTGAGGAGCTCGTCCTTGCGCTCGTACGCCTTGTACAGCCACGACGAGCACCCGTTTCCATCGGAGGGGATTTGCTCCACGGGTATGCGCCGGATGTGAATGTGGACTTCGGATGGATCGATTCCAAACAGGTTGTCGATGAAGAGAGGGCAGCGGTTCTTGTAGCCGATCGTGAGATCGTAGACTGGAAAAAAAGAAGAAAGAAGTTAAACTTTAAAGCCAAAGTTTTTGGATGGATGATGCTTGCCTGCGTCGAGAGAGCTGCCAAGGTTCTTCATGCACGATTGGAATCCTTTGGTCTTTGGCATGAGTACGTGATTGAGCTTGCGCAAGCCTTTCTTCTCGGCGAGTTCCTGGCCAGCCAGCTTCTTCTGCTCCCTGCGCGTGTCGATCGATCAAAACGTTACTCGAAACAAAGAAGGAAAACACAGGAGAGAAGAACTTACGTGTAGTCAGTTCCTTCCGGGAAGAGGATCAACCAGAGAGGATCCCTGGCGTCCTTGAAGCTCGAGAGATAGCGCTCCATGAGGGGCTCGTCCACCTCCCACTTCCTCTCGATGAGGAGAAACTCCATCACGTAGAGCGCCCAGCCAAACACGGGGAGATCGCGGACGCTGTTCTTGACCACGTACTTGACGTGCCCAATCCGGCCCTTGCGCAGCGCCAGGTTCCAGATGTACATCCAATCCACCTCCGTCCTGTGGTTGCAAATCACGATCGCCCTCTCGCCGCCCGGGACGCGATCGCCCGAGAAGACCACCCTCGTCTCGTTGATGTTCTCGAAGAGGAAGGGCCACATTGCGAGCCAGTGGCCGAAGAAGAAGGCGACGAGCTCGCGGCTGTGGTGGCGGCTGAAGATCCGGACGAGGACGCAGCAGAATGGGGCCAGGAAGATGAGCATGAAGAAGGCGGTGGAGAGGAGGACGAGGAGGCACGCCAGGCCGCGGACGATCCGGAGGGGAGTGAGCGGCGCGTGGCGGGGGCCCTGGCGGAGGAGGAGCTCGTTTGGATCCGAGGGAGAGAAGGACGAGTAGCCGCCGCCATCGCCGCCATTGACAGACTCGCGGATCTCGTCCGAAATATTGTCGCTCGTCACCGCCGCCGGCGTTCTTGCGCGATCCTGCTCGCCATTGGCGCTCGAAAGCGGCGGATTGCGATTCATTCCCCGGCTGCGGTGATGCGCGGGAAAATTCTATGCCAATTCTAGCGCCGGACTCACCGATCGGGGGAGTGGACGATTCCCACGCCTTGCGCTGCCGCCGCCCGGACCTCCGTCCTTCATTCCCAAAGAACGAGGGTAAAAAGCTTCGGGGGTCCACATTTCTTACGACCTCAAGAACCCTAAGGACAAACGAACACGTTAAAGCATATTCCCACATCCAGTCAAAGGTCAGTCAAACTTGGAAAGGTGATACGTGTGAGGTTATATGTGTGAGGTGGCATGCCATGTGCTAATGTGCCAATGTTTCAAATGTTAGGTTGCAAATTTGGACCATTGACGAATATTCCACAGGAAGTGATTTAGAAACGGGCACAAACATTACCAGTCCCAGCAGTCAAGAACATCTCACATGCACACTTTAAACACAATTATTATAAGAAAGGGCTCCTTTAATCGTCCTCCTCATTTTAAACCAAATGTCGTCTCTTATTAGCAAAGATCCACAGGAATATCCCGGTCAATCTAGTGACGGCTTGCGTGCATTGGTCATTGCGAAGCTATTTCCATGGCACCTTGCCTCGGGCTTGCTTGCATTACTTACGTAGCTGGGTCTTGATTCCGTTTTCCCTGTGATCGCGGTGTCCAGGATATCATTTTCAATGAGTTTTTCGTGGTCGACGCCCAAGCGTGCCAACTCAGCGAACTGCACGATCGGTTCTTGGACGGCCTTGTTGGTAAGGATCTAGGGTTATGGGATCTGTGGATGATCCGGCAAGCAAATCTAAGGGAGGAGAGGAAGTATCTGTGGAAAGAAAACAAGAAGCTGCGGCAGAAGAGGAGCAGCTTGCCTCGTTGAACAGAGTAAGCACTTGGCTGTGCGTGACTTGCCCTGACTTTCGCTAGAGAGTCTGGCCTGTTTTGTGCCAATAATGTGGCCCTGGCGAGATTGTATAGATAAGGAGGCCAAAAGAGCAAAGGAGGCGAGAAAATCCGAAGGCACAGAAAGTGGGCAGTAGGAGAAAGTCGGCCAACTTTGCTAGCATGGCAAAGGAAGGCAATAAGGATGATTGGGATGACTATAGTAGCTTGTTCATGGCCATAAGCATCAAGAAGCAAATCACCAACTTCCAGGATGAGGCAAGAATAGAGGTTGATTCAGGGGCAAACAAGTATATGACACACCTTAGATAATTTAGATCAGTTCTAAGAAATAAAAAGATTTTCCTAGGGGATGATCACTCACAGAAGGTGGAGTGGGCATGCTTTGCAAGACCAAGGAAAATAATAGATTTTTAGATATGGCATTGAAGGTTTAGTGAGTAAGACATTGAAAGGATTGATTTGAAAGGATTGATGTTATAGTATTAAAAGATATTTATTGGATAATCCTTTTGGACACTCTTTCTTTATTAAAAGATTGATAGTTCTTTTTGTTAACACATTTTGTTCAAATGTTCATAAATTGGGTTTAATATATATACTTGGCCAGATGAGTATAAGGAAGGATATCTAAAATTTTTATTTAGTTAAATATACTTAGTTCTTTTTTCTCTATCTTAGGTGAAAAAAAATAGAAATATAAATAGAACGAAACTAGGAATAAACAAACTTTTTTGTTAGAGTGGGATTCTCATACTAAAATGGGAATCTATCCACATGCCATGTCTTAGTTCACTTAATATTTATATTATTTTTATAATTTATTTGTTATATTAACAATGGAAACTTCACTAAGGGACTAGAATATACCTAGAATATTCTTGGATATTCTAAGATATTTTTATTCATTTAAATTAATCTTATATTTATAATTTATAAACTTTTACTTTGTATCATCATGAGCTTGTAAGGTCTTTTGGAGCATGAGCTAAAAAAAACACTACAAATTAGAATGCATCTACGTCCAAAATGGCAATTGCAAGGAAGCACTTAAAGTTTCCAGGCTCATAGATCAAACTGGTATCAAGCTCAAACTACTATCAATGATTGATGCTTGTGCTGGTATAGGGAATTTGCCACAAGCCAAGTCTCTTTCTCCCAGCTTTTCTTTGTGTTGGCATGTGGCTATAAACTATTTTCCTTACTAAACTATATAGGATAATGACAAATCCCAGTTTTAGCTTATAAGAATGAAGTTTGTTTCTTTATTTTCCAAATATTCCAAAAGTAGCTTATTTGAATTTTATATTTCTGAGATAGTTATGTTATTTTATAGTTATATTATTGTTTTCTTTGGTAACTTGTTCAGACTTTAAGTTCTAGTGGCTCCTAGTTCTCATTGGATCACTCCATTGTATTCCAAACTCAACCCCTATGAAAGCTGGGTTAGTGATTGATTTAAACAAAATGGATGTATGCTCTTTGTCCCATATAGGGTATGATAGTAAGTAAGATTGATTGTGACGACAGGAGCGCTAGAATGTAGAAATCAGCAATGTGGAGTTTTTCTCAATTTTGTGATTATACAAAGAGGTGATAAAAGCTTAATCCCAACCACTATAAATTTTACCAACGTAGCTAAAACAATACTAAGACTTCCTGGGCATTGCTGCTGCCATAGTTTTTAAGGGCATTGCAGCTGTGGTTTGCCAAAATCAAGCAGCTATGGCAAAACCGTCGTTGCGAGTGTTGCTCACGTTTCAGCTTTAGACAATGATGTTAGTGGAGACCTTACGTTATATAAATTGGTTTAAAGTTTTAAATGTTAATGCATGGCATTATGAGGCTATAAATGGAATTGTCCCATTGAATCTAGTTGACAAAGTATTTGGAATTATAGCTAGTTTAAAGGACCTCATCCTCAAAGTTCTTTTGTGATATCCGGTGATTATCATCCTTGATCTACATCCCCGCTGGTTTCCCTTCGCCCAATTATCATTGGCGTCATCTGCAAGTATCTGGGTAATGCGGACTCTAATCAAAGTTGATCCATCTTGAGCCTCACCACAACTATCCAGCTTCTGCAGAGTGTCACTATCCTTGTTACTCCAAACAGTTGTATTTCCTTGTTATAATAAGAAAAAAAATAAAACTCTACGAATATTATTGATCTTAATAGCAGTCTTACGAGACAAACTCCTTGCACTTGAACTTGGCCGACAAGCTCACGGGCTGGATCACGAGCTCGCAGCTCACGGGGACACCCACAACCGCGGAAGACACCGCCTTTGACGCCGTGAATCGCGCCTTGAGCGTGCCGGCCAGCAACACGACCACGCGGTTGACTCCAAAGTCGTAGCGCAGCGCCCTCACAACATCGTCCCCGCGCACCACCGTCGACTGGTCACTCACCAGCGCCGCAAAGGTGAGATTGCTCCGGGGACCCTGGAGGAAGGCCGTCGTCGCCACCGTCGCCAGAGCTCGGCCCCTATACTCGAGCAGCAGACTGTCGCCCGTGTAACGGAATGGAATGCCATAGCGGTTCCTGGATTCCATCGTGAAATCCATGAAAGCCTCCACCGTGAGCTCGCCACCAGTGTCTCCCAGACTGAATCTCCCGATAGTAGCGTTGGTCATCACCACGATCGGGAGCCTCGGATGAAGATCGAGATAGATGGCGACGACGAAGAGGCTGATCACCATCACCAGCATCAAGAATCCCAGGATGAGGCACACCGCCAGCAGTCGCTTGTCCCTGTCCTTGATGCATTTCTTGAGCACCGCCGACTTCACGATCATGGCTGTCAGTTCTTCGTTCCTTCTTCGTCCTCCTCCTGCGCTAGCTAAATCTAAGTCTGAGTCCCCGTTTATCCCCCACTTTACGTATGATCGAGCCCCTTGAGCTCGCTCTCCAAGGAAGGTATCTGTCTCTGGATGCTTGTCCCACTTCCAAGACTTCCAAGTCCCAAAGCTCTAGCGTAAGCAAACCCTCTCCTCCGGCTAGTTGTGGCAATCACCGTGCTTCACCAGCGATGGCGTGAAGTTCGGGCAGTCCACAGTGCCGCTGCCGGGGGTGAAGCCGATGGTCAAGTTCTGGCAAAAGTAGATCCTCCTCTTGAAGTTGGACAGCAAAGGTGACGCGCGGTACTTGGCCCTGAGCATGCCGTGGAGATAAACACGCTGCGTCATCAGCCCCGCGCGCTCGTTCTGCAAGTCTTTCACCACGTTCTGGGGCACCTCCACTGTGCTGTTGCACACCACCGTGAACCTCTCGTACTGGTTACCACCGCCGACGCTAAACCTCGGAGTCTGGCCGTCGCTGATGTCGTAGGCAACCGTGGAGTTCATCTTGTAAGCCACAGACAGCTTGCCGGGCGGGAAATTGAAGTTGACGCTGTAAGCACTGCTCGCGTTCAAGGAGAAGGCCATGCTGATGTGTAGAAGCTGGGAGAGTGAGTCTCCACAAACCGGATCCAACTGATGGATCTCGCCACCCTGTAAAGCGATCGAAGGCAGCCTTGCTCGAGCGTCCACCAGTATAATGACCAGGAAGAAGACCGTGATGAAGAGGAGCAGCAGTGCCGCCAGGATGGACAGCGTAAACCACATAGACGACGTGCCGTTGGGGGTAGACTCGTGTCCACGCGTGCTATGTCTTGGGCTTCCAGTGGTCGCTGGCTGCTGCTGCTTTTTCTTTGGAGACTTGCTCTTCTTTGGAGACTTGCCTATTGATCCTGGAGGAGTGCTGGGCCCGGGATGTTGGCTGGTTTCTAAGAGTTTGCTATCCCCTGGATCTACTGCTGAACTAGCACCCGGAACTTTGCTACTTTTCGGAGGCTTTGGCGTTCTCGGACTCCTCGGAAACTTGCCCGCCCACCAGGACTTGCGTGGAGAAGGCTCACTCTTCTCCAGGGACTGCCAAGTCGGAAGCTCCTCGGACATCATGCCCCTCATAGTCAAGTTTCCCATTCTCCCGCAATCCTTGAAAGACGCACACGCAAGAAGAAGTGAGTACCTAGAAAACACAAAACTTGACAAGTACTTACAGCCAAGTCCCGAGTCCGATGTAGCCCGGCCTTTGCTGTCACACACCGCCACCTTTGATCTCGTGAAGACACCCTGCTACCTTACTGAAACGAAAAGCCTGCTACCTTACTGAATCGAAAAGCCAAAGCCAGACCCAGTGACTTCTTAAAGCTTACGGTGGTATACACATTTCCTTTTATGCTTCCACACGACTCTAAGCTCCCCCTGGATTTTGGTGGAACCATTTGTCTCGCATCACCTCAAACCCCCAAACACGATTTCCTTCCAGCCACGATGCCTGTCCAAAATCTGTGTTGCTGATCGAACGGGGTAGTTTATTGTCAAGAAATTCTGATCCGAGCACCCTCCCATCGTACATGTTCCGCCAAAATTGTGGTGAGACGTACTTGTGTGTTCTACTCGTTTTTCTTAATCATCCCAGGCATCATCCGCAACGCCTTTCTTCGGATCAACCGAAGCTACCAGCATATGCTTGTACTTGTCATCTACCCGGACAGTGGTAGAGCCAAACGTACCGACGCCGGAGGTCCCTGTTAGCCGGCCTTCCTTGAAAGCGGCAGCTTCCTCTCTCTCTTTCCTTCGTGCGGCCTATCAATGAATGGTAATGTCGAGCCTTAGAAAGCTTCAGAAAAACATACCTTTCCAGTTGCAAAAGCCATAACATTTCCAGCCTCTGCCTCTGCTATTGCTTTCCGAATCTGTGCGACCAGAAACTGTAACAATGATAAAACAACATTAATAAGCGCACTGGAAATCTAGAGCGACATACAGCATCTCGATCGGTGTACAAAGATGTCGCTCGACCGCTTGCACCAGCTCGCCCTGTCCTTCCAATGCGGTGGACGTAATCTTCCATAACCTTGAACAATTTGACTAATAAGTCAGGACAAAGCAAGTAACACTACCACCGGACCTTTGGAAGATCCAAGTTCACAACATGTGCAACTCCGGTAACATCAAGACCACGCGAGGCGACATCAGTTGCGACCTATCAAGAAAGAAAAACACAAAAGTGGCGACCGTTCGAAAAATGCGATATAGAAAACAAACCAGGATACTGATTGCACCCTTTCGAAAATCTCTCAATGCAGCTTCTCTTTCGCCCTGAGTTCTTCCACCGTGAAGGGCAGCTGCTTTGAGTCCCTGAGCTAACAGAGCATCCGCAACATCGTCACACCTTGCCTGTAATAAACTGGACTAAGAACGTACGACGTTTTCATCTTGCGAACTTACCTTTCTTTCCACGAAAACAATCGTAAGAGGCGGAGGCTGCCCTGCTCGTTCAGATTGATTTGACGACTCCACAAGCATCGCGAGAAGGTAGTCAATCTACGTATACATGTATCATAGAAAAATAATGTCCGTGATATAGGATCATTTTTTACCTTGTCTTTCTCATCAACTTTCTCGAGAGACTGTAGAACATTTGAGGTTGGACTGCTCACTTTCCCAACTTTAACCTGAACAGGTTTTGTCAGATACTCCTGAGCAAGAGCTTCAATCTCCTCCGGCATCGTAGCACTGAAAAGGAGCGTCTGATGCTTTTTAGGAAGATTTTGCATCACCTACAACGACGACCACTCAGCAATGAAAGAAAAAGTACCAAATGCAGCATACCTCCTTAATCTGGGGTAAAAAACCCATGTCAAGCATTCTGTCGGCTTCGTCCAGTACAACATACGATACTCTCAACAAAGAACTATTTCCTTGCTGAAGATGGTCGATAAAACGGCCAGGTGTAGCTACAACCACTTGAACTCCAGATCGCAGCTCGGATCTCTAAGAAACGGCGAAAGAAAAGATAAACAAAACTTTCACTTGAAACTAAAGTATTACCTGCTCTCCGATATGAGTTCCACCCACAACTATAGCAGTCTTGAAGCCATCTGTGGATCGGCTGAATGCCCTCACCTAAACAATACATTAGGCAGTGAGAATAATTCATTGCTTCACACGCACCTCTTTCTCGATCTGTTGGGCAAGCTCACGAGTCGGTGCGAGCACCAAGGCCAAAGGCCCATCACCATGACGAATAGGAGGTTGAGCTAGACAATGCTGAAACGGGCACCGAGAAGTAAGCAAATAAGTCGTATCAAAACAGCAAGAAAACCTGGATCATCGGGATAGCAAAAGCAGCAGTTTTGCCACTTCCAGTCTCAGCACATCCGAGCAAGTCTCTTCCAGAAAGAGCCACAGGCATAGCCTGCGCTTGGATTGGAGTTGGATTAGTGTACTCGTGGAACGCAATGTCTTTCATGATATTCGCATGTAAACACTGCAAGGGAAAGAGCCAGAGCCAGATCTTAGTCACTAAAAGTAGCAGTATGCTCTTACCATGTCCTCGAACGTTTCCACCGGCGCCTGGGCAGCCGGCGTGCCGTCAGTGATTTCCACATCGACATTGAGACGCGCCCTCACATCCGCGATCTAGCACCAGAGAGACAGGGGAGAGATCCAGCAAACGAGGGTTTAGGGTTTTACCCCGGGGAGAGATACTCACCTGATCGCTCTGCATTCTCCTCACGCGCTCCGATGGCTGCCACCGTGACCACACCGCCTCCGGCGGCGGCAAGCCGCGGGTATCGCGGCTCGGGAAGGGCCATTTCTCGCGGCCGTAGCCATTCCCCGACGCGAATCCATTCGCGTCGGGCCGATTCCTGCTGTAGCTCCCAAAGCTGCCCCCATAATCCCGATCCCTGCTCCCAAAATCCCCAGAGGACGATCGCTGCGACGGCGATGGCGACGCGGGCGTGGCGGCTCTTGAATTGGACGAGGCTCCCGACCTCAGATGTGGAGGAATATATGGCATGGCGGCACTCTCTCCTCTCTCTCTCGCGCAACCAGCTATGGCAAAGATCACAAACAGCTCAAACCCTAGGGCAAAAGCATCGAGTGGCCCAAATCCGCGCGCCCTAGAAGCGTACGGTCGCCAGCCCCACCGCCCGTACAAACTAACTCTTGTTTCACTTGAAAGCGTTGTGGAAGAGGCTGCTGGGCGACTCGATTTGCACGATGTGCTCCTCCTCCTCGTCGCTGGAATCGCTGGACAGCTGCTTCTTCCGGAGCTTCCGCCGCGTTCTCAGGGCCGGGAGTGGCGGAACCGGCGGCGCTGAGATGAGCGGCAGGCTTCCTTGAGGCTGGAGTTCCCGCGGCCTCTCGAGCGAGCGTCGCCGGACTCCTCCCGGGAACAAAGGTGGGACGGCTTGAGGCTGCTGTGGCCATATCTGGCCCGTGCTTCCTCGTTTCCACGCGCTCTCCATCTGCGTGTATGTATCTCTAGAACTTGAGTGACGAACATAAAAACGAGGAAGCGTACCTTGATTTCTTCAAGAACGTTGGCTTCGTTCGTTGTTGCCGAGCCTTGCCTCATCCGGGCAAGGATCTGCTGCTCCGAGTTCCGGCTTTGATCCGACCCGTGCCTTCCTCGGTACCTCAAGCTGAAGCTGCTGCCATGCCCAATTGCACTGGATCGACGGGAAAGCAAGGACTGCGAAGAAACTCTCGTGTGGACGTTGTGCCTGATGAGAACCAGACGAGAGCGCGTCTCTACGTGAAATATGTTTCCGTAAAAGACACCGTTGCCAGAAACCTTCCGCTCTGTGCCAGGAAAAATTAGATTGTTAGAGGGCGAGAAATTTAGAAAGAAGGAACCTGTCTCGTGGCTGGGACAAACAATTCCAGCCGGGGCTCCGATTATTTCGTTTTCCCCGTCCTGCTTGAGAAATCCTTCAATAAGAAGGCCTATCTCGCCAACTGGTACTTCAATAATCTCTCCGCGGATGAAAGATATCATGCTAGAATTCTGGACAGTGACTCGGAGCTCATGCATAGGCATTGCTTCGAAAAAATCCGGTAAAATTATCTTCAAAACCGGAAGGGTGCTTTCCTGCAATTAAATGCGGTGAGAATTCAACTCAGTCTTCTTAGCTTTACCTGCCAAAAAAACTGTTCCAGCTCTGTGTTGGCTTGTAAGATAGACATTACTTTAGATGCTTCCAGATAAAAGCACTGAACCACCGAGTCTGCGATCAAATCACAGAGGAACGACTTTCCCATGATAACTTCGTAAAGACCCAAAGTACTGCCATGAGAAAACGTTGGATGCAATAGATGCCTGGAATTGCGACTAGTGTTCCACTGCAAACTCAACATACTTCAAGCATGGTAGCATCATCCAGGATTTACGTACCTTGACAATACCATTCGCTATAAGCCAAAGGCCGTCCGCACGAGAGCCTTCTTTATAGAGAACGCTGCCTCTCAGCTTTAGAAACTCCTTCGAGGAATTAAAAATCAAGGCTTGAATTTGGCTCGGAAGAGATGTTATAAAAGGCTGAGTACGCAAAAGATCTGCTCCCTTCGGCATTGAAACGCTTGGAGGATTTCTCAGTAACCTTTTCAAATCAGCCTGCAAGTGAGCTTCTGTCAGCTCTATTACCTTATACAATGAAAACACTTACCTGCACAGCATCATGAAGATGCATTGTTTCGCTATCCTCGAGCAGACCGGATTTTTCCAAACTTTGAATATAGTCCGAGATGCGAAGTAAAATTGCATGGACAACTTGTTTGGTTTTCACAACACGCAATACCTGCAAACATGTGTTCGACACGCTTACAAAGCCATAATGAGAAATGGATACCTGTGAAAATGTGAGACGTATACCCTCTAAAAACTGCTTAGCTTCGACAGTCTCTTCCTCGCTCTCTTTAATCACAATCTCTCCAACTTCCGTTTCTCCTGCCAAACAAAAACTTTTAGCATTAGGAGCACGCAAAGGCAGCTAATTCACCAGTTACCTATGAAAGCTCGTAGATGACGTCGAACAAGGAGATGAGCACGAAGAAACGCAGCACTAATGTAGCAACTAAGCTCCAGACGCTCCACAACCAGGTAAGTTAACAACTTCTGCGGCAAAAACAAATTTCCTATTTGTAGATGCTTCAAGTAGCTGGGGCAGTGAACGTGGGGATGCACACCGCTCCAGTCCGAAAGAACATCCTGCTTGGCGACTCTATCCAGAGCCTCGTCCACGGACTGCATTAACAGCAGGGCAGCCGTCTGTGTGATTCTTCCTTCTTCAAGCATCACCCAGTAAGCCGCTTGTACTCCTGCAAAGCACGAAACCGCGGCTTCAATGGCCAGAAGAAAGAGTCGCTTGGTCACCATTTAGGAAGCGGAGACGGAGGTCTTGCAGCTGTGTCTTACGCGTGTCACCCTCGCTAGTCGAGGCATCATGGGGATGGATACGCGCTTCGTCTTCTGGAAGTCGATTCAAGCAGCTTATATATTTGCGCACGGTCGGCCAATCAGCGGGACCAAGTTCTTCGTCTTCTCCAAGCTCTTCGAATGCTTCAGCTGTCTTGCTATTCATTTCGTAGTTTACGTGCTCCAACACAAGCCTCTGCGAAGAAACACACGTCAGCATACGATGCACTGTGCTGCAAAAACTGTACACACCTTCGTCTCCGAGGTTTTCTCCATGTGGAGAAACTTCAAAAGAAACTGTGTTGACGTACCGTTCACAATGAGCGTTAGGAAAACCACGCCCCCTGTAAAGAAGACAAACTAGCGGACGAAGCACAATCAGATGGACGGCTTACACAGCTTACAATGATATCTAACCTTTGCTTGTATTCTTCCTGCGACACTCTCATCATTTTCACTTTCCTGGAATAAAAAGAGCTTTGATTCAGAAAGCTCAGATCTTACAGTAAATTACCTTTACAGAAAGTGACAGAGCAAGTGCTACAGCACCTCGAAGACCAGACCAGACTAGTATAAGAGCCTCCTTGAAACTTAATCCATATCCGTAATAACTCAAGCCGGGATACAGTGCAATCACTACCAATGCCCGTGATAGCTGTAGAAAGAAGTACAAACACAGCAAATATGCCCAGTCGCGACCTGTCGAACGCTGTGAAGAAGATGCAAAGAGTTGACCCTACATGCCAAGCACCTTCAATTTGTGATTGACTTCGCAGGAAACTTTCCGCAATGACTACGCCACTGATTAACAAAGAACTGAGATCAACTCTACCGAGCACTACATACCTTAGGATGAAAATAACGGTATTTGCAAAGTATGTAATGATGGTCCTGTAAAATTAATTGTGGAATAAGAAGCCTTCATTGTTTTAATTTAATATGGTTTTAGTTCCAATACCAAAAGCAATGCATACTCTGTTGGCTTTCACCTTTGAAAGCGGCCCTCCCAAACGCTGCAAATAACCTGATAAGTTGGATCGCATAAATAGTTAGAAGAAAACAATGTTCGAAGATCTCACTTACATGCCAACCGTCATGACTGCCAGCACTCCAGAAACACCAGCAACATGCTGAGCCTATTTCCACATAAAACGGACTAAGTACATTGCAGCAGCGAAGATGCAAACAATCAAAAAACATACTATGAAGAACGCACAATAACTTGCTGTGAAAGTCAGCGTGATTTCTATAACGGTATCGTTAAACATGATCCCGAGCCAAAAGATCGACAGCATTCCAAAAGTCATGCCCAGCGCCACGCTGCAGCAACGAGAAACAAGTAAGAGAAAACACAAAACAATTCATCTCTTCGCACTTACGATCCCAATGCAACTTGAGACAAGAATTTGCAAATGTCGCCAGCAGAGAAATGTTTCCCGAGCACCATTTGATGGAAAAGCTCAAACACCACCATTGCTGTTCTGCTTCCCAACAAAATTCACGAAAACACATGAGCAGCTGATGAGAAAAGCTGAAGGTACAAACCCATCGTTCATCAATGCTTCCCCCTCAATTATCGTGCTCAGTTTTTTGCTTGCCTTCACATCTCTGAGAAGAGAGACAACCGCTACAGGATCCGTGGCACTGAGAAGCCCTCCCAGTAATAAGGACACACTCCAGCTCCATCCATAAGGAAGAATAAACTACACAACCACAACACTGTGAAACGATAGTAAACTCTTAAAAAACGTGAGGAAGAGGTCTTACGTGGCTGAAAAGCCCCAGACAAAATGTTGAAATGACCACTCCAGGGCCCGCGAGGAGTCCCATCTGTACCAAGCACCTCTATCTCCACGCAAAGAGCAAAGTTTGATCCAGTTCACGAGAAAGATGGCTTCTCTCCTACCTTGATTTGATGGACTTCCATGGAAAACGAGCTCTCGAAAAGAAGAGCCGGCAAGAACACGTAGAGAATGAGATTGGGATGAATGTTCGACCCTGCGAAAGAGATTGAAAACCATACAAAGAAAAAAAGAGACAATGGAGGAGCTTACACAAGCGAATGCTATGGCCGAGAGATCCCAGGCCCCGTTGAGTTCCATATTCTAGGTGGAAAACCATAGCAATAAGCGATAGATTGTGAAGAGAAAGAAGACAAAGAAGAAGAAGAAGGTGATCGATTGATTACCTAGAGCGCCCAGCCCCATTCCAATCACCAGCAGCGCCACAGTGTAGGGAACCTTGGTCTTGTGCAAGAGTTGCCTCGACACCGTCCCAATCGCCAGCGACACGACGACGAAGAGAATCGCCGTCTCCGGCCCCCATTTCTCGATCGCAGAGGGCGGATTTTCGGCGTCCAATGCTGCGACGTTCAATCGCGATCCCCTGGTGATCGCTGCCATCTCCAAACTCTAGCTAGCAAGAACCCTAAAATATTTTTGATTAATGCGCTCTTGCCGGCTATGGCGACGGCGGCGATGACGACCAAGGCGCTGGAATGGCGCTCTCCCTGGCGGCGCTGGCTCGACGGACCTCGGCTGCCACTCTCGATGCGGCGATTCTCAGGTTCTTATCCTCCTCCGCTGCTAGGTTCTCCACTCCATCGCCGCCCCGGATTTCCAAGACTCTGCCCAATCTCGACGCCATCGCCGCCGCATTGCGCAGCAGCCAGCACGGGGAGGTGCTGACGCACATCGGCGGACGCCTCACGCTCTTCCTCTTCCTCAAGGTGATTCGCAGCCTCAGGGACTCCGATGCGTGGGTGATCTTCTTCGACTGGGCTGGCGCACAGCAGGGCTTCCTCCACACGCAAGTCACTTGCAATGCGCTGCTCGATTTGCTGGAGAGAGCTCGCCGGAGCGAGCAGATTGTGGTGGTCTTTAGGAGGATCTTCTCGCAGGACTGCAAGCCCAACGCTCTCAGCTACTGCTACCTGGTGAAAGCCCTGTGTAGGACGGGGAAGATTGACAAGGCGTGTAGCACCATAGCCGAGATGGCCAGGGAGAAGCTGGTCCCGGATGTTTTCACGTACAACGTGGTGATAGACACACTCTGCAAGGCACGGAGGATCTCTCGAGCGATCGAGTTCTTCGAGACAATGCCCGAGCCGGATGTGGTCACCTACAACACGCTGCTCGGTGGGCTCTGCAAGAACGGCAGAGTGGCTCAAGCGTGCTCGTTGTTTGGAAGCATGGAGGGCGCTGGTATCACCCCAAGCGATGTGACTTACACCACTCTCATCGACGTCTTCTGCAAGATGTGCCAGTTTGAGACGGCCTACGGCCTCCTCCAGCTGATGGCGTCGAGGAAGTGCTCGCCGACCGTCTACTCGTACTGCTCGATCATCAACGGGCTGTGCAAGAACAGGAAGGTGGATCAAGCGTATCAGCTCTTCGAGGAGATGAAGCTAGCGGGCTGTAAGCCGGACAGAGTGACTTACAACACTCTGATCCACGGGCTTTGCGTCAAGCAGAGGCTCCACGAAGCGAAGGACCTCCTGACGGTCATGGTGGAGAATGGCTTCCAGCCGGACAAGATCACTTTCACGGCACTCATCGAGGGCCTTTGCACGACGGATCGGATCAAGGAAGCCTTCGTGCTGTTCCAAGGCATGGCAAAGCAGGGATGCGCTCCGGACCTCGTCACTCACACCGTCCTCGTCTCCAAGCTGTGCATCCTGCGGAAGCTCCGCCCGGCCTTGAGTGTGGTACGCAACTATCCGGCCTGTCCCGAGGCAGTGATTCTTTACACTCCCATTTTCAGGGAACTCGGGAGGAGGAGAGGCTTTGACCGTGCGGCAAGGCTGCTACAGAAGATGGCCAGGAGAGGCGTCCCTCCAAACGTTGTGACTTACACCGCGTTCTTCAAGGGGCTGGGCGACTGGAAAGAGGGAATGCGAGCGTACCGGGAGTTTAGGCGGATGCTCGAGCAGGGAATAGAGCCGGACATGGTGGCTTACAACGTTCTGGTGGACGGGTTTTGCAAGGCGGATAGGCTGGACATGGCAGAGAAGATGGTGAGGTACATGGATCAGAGTGGACTCCCTCCAAACATCGTCACTTACAACACGCTCGTCGGCCACCACTGTAGGAAGGGGAAGGTGGAGGCCATTGGCGAGCTCCTCCACACCATGGTTAGCAGGGGCCGGCAGCCCGACGTTGCGACTTGGAGCACGCTGGTGGCGGGGCTCTTCATGGTCGGGCAAGCGGACGCGGCGTATAGCTTTCTTAACTTGGCCATGTCCCAGGGCTACACTCGGGAAGCCTTGAGGTTCAAGGCGGCAACAAAGTTCAAGTGGTGAATGGCGTTAACAGAAGAGCCCAAGTTTTTTGGATTGTAAATTCTAAGGTTTTTAGAGTATCCATGCGTGGTTTCTCAGGATCTCCCGGACACGCTATAGATGCCAAGAAACACCCTGTGCGCTCACACACCTCTGAGGCTCAAGAACTACTGCCACTAGCGAGCTAGTGTCACCTTCGGGAGCAGCTACTCGCTGCCGAGCAATCTCGCGCGAAGGAAGTGTTTGACAGCATGATCCAATACGTGCTGCGAATATCAACAAAAATAGCAATGAACTGAGAAGTCACATACCATGAACACAGTCCCGGCCAGGGCTTCCCGCGGGTTTAAAGTCTTGCTCTGTAACTCAATATGGAGGTCAGTTCAAGAATCACATACCTTTTGTTCATCTACAACAAAAACAGCAAAGTCCCCTCCACCCGCAGCAAGAAGCCTGTTGCCTTGTTGTAGTTCTTTTCCTGAAACGTTCTTCATTAGCTTGACAACACTCGATGAGATCGAGAATAAAAGCTAAGCCGTCCGTATGGCTTTCTCACAAAAGCCATACTTTCCAACGTTCAGTTCAGCTATCAACTTGAAGTAGTGTTCTAAGAGATCTGGTTGATCGAGCATGCAAGACTCATCAACATCCCTCAGATAAAAATGTTGGCCTTCCTGTCAGACCTTGGAAGACCTCCCTGCAGTGGAGCTTGATATTCACAGCCTTATAGATATATCCGGTTCTCATGATGAATGGCACCGTCTGCAGTGTGGTAAGCTTTTGTACAATCTCCAAGTGGGAATGAGTGATCTCGTTCAAGCTCTTCGACCATTTTTTCTTCCGTTTTCGAGAATAGAAGTCGTAGAAGTTTCTCAGCGTATTGTTTCACATCATTTGTCCAAGCTAGAGTTTTGGAAAGAATAAGGAGTTTCTGATCGGACATGTACGCAACACTGGCTGCAACACAATCAACCCGCAAAGGAGAACACAAAAGTGCCAAAAGGCTCAGGCTTGACAGGAGAACGGTATTCTCTCCGACCTGTGTCGGGAACGGGAATGAGAACGAGACCTGTGTCAAGAAGACAGGGAGGGAAGATCGAACATACTCAACTATGACTTGAACCAGCAACCCATCCAGATCCCGAATCTCGAATGCAACTTCCTGCGGTCGTGCAAATTCCACAAAACCGTAGCTTCCCTTCACATAGACGCTAAGAATCCTGCAAAGGACAAGTGTATGATGGGTACCTTCTTTGCAACGTGATGATACTTTAATTCCTCAACTGAGGAAAAGGAAGTACTTTTATGCAACCAAACTCCATACAGAGCTGAGATTACATATGTTCCTAGCGAGACACCGCACAGCAACCTACATCGGTGTTTCTAAGTTGCTGTGGGCTTCGGGAGAATTGTGTGGGCAAGGTACGCACAATAAAGTCTACCCAGGGTGGCGATACGAAGTAGGAGACTTGGATAACTTGGTAGGAAGGGTTTGGCTATCCAAATTCTAGTTGGAGGGTTTAGAACTAGTGAGATGACGCCAGATCCTTGGTATTTCTCCATATGGTTCTTTTCTAGCATCCTGGGACAAGCAACGGGTTTGATGGAGCCAGATCAAACCAGAAAACTCTTATCTTTACATCGACGCTTCTGATCGAGTAGGAGCACTAGCCAGGAGTAAGCCAACCATTCATAATATAACTAAGTAATATGTCTGAAGTGATTGGAAGTAGGCTTGTTTGAAATTAGAGCTTCCGTGATTGCGCGCAATGGATTCAGGAGTTGTTATGCCCCATGGCTCAGATTAAAAGGGCCGCGACGCTCGGATACAGCCTCCTTACATAGCATCTCAGCTCACGAGCTGTGCATCCAACTCTGCAAATCATCGAGGACTGCGACTACGGCTATGTTGGCGTCTTCGAGAACGGTCCCAACTGCGACTACGGCTCCGGCAATGTCGGCGTCTTCGAGAACGGTCCCGACTGAGACTTCGGCTCCGGCTATGCCGGCGTCTTCGAGAGCGGTCTGTACTCGAACTAATTGAAAGATCAACACAAAAGCAACCATTCACCGCATCGTACCTCTGAGGCTCAAGAACTATTGCTACTAGCGAGCTAGTGTCACCTTCAGGAGCAGCTACCAACTGCCGAGCAATCTCGCACGAAGGAAGTGCCATTACATTTTCGACAGCCTTGCCACGATGAGCCAAAACGAGAAACTGCTTTTTGTCCAATATGTGCTGCAGCGCAAGGAGAATATCAACAAAAAGATCAATGAACTGAAGTCAGATACCATATGTACTTCCAGCGGGTTTAGAATCTTGCTCTGTAACTCAATATGGAGATCGAGCCGAGAATCACGTACCTTTCCTTCATCTACAACAACAACAAAGTTGCCTTCACCCGCAGCAAGAAGTCGTATAGATACCATCGTAGTTGTGTAGTTCGCCAGCCACAACCGGAACTAGTACAACGGGAACAATCAAGAAAGGACCAGCCAAAACAGTTGGATTACCTTAGATTTGAATACTTCAATGGGCCGCTCCCCATCAATATAAGGTTCATCTATCGGCAAAAGGTTTTGGCTTAGTATGTTAGCATTACTTGGAGAAAGCCGTCCGTATGGCTCTCACAAAAGCCATACTTTCCAAAAGATGTCGCGAGCTCGTTCCCCATGACATCGATTTTCTCTTCCATAAAAGGAAGGGCCTCTGGCAATCTGAGGATCATATGGTGATAAACCTCTATGTTCCCTCCACCAGGCTTCATGCAGGTGAAGGACCGTAGTCGGCCCTCCTTGGCAATCTAGCTGCAACACTTCCTGCTGCTAGCCAGCGATTAGGGAAACTATTCGATGGTGTTGCCAAAACCTTGCAGTTTTCAGGTGATTCCTTTGGGCCCTCACCCACTTGACGCCGTTCACTTCTCCACTAAGAATGTCTACCTTTGCTGCAGCTGGGAAAAAGAGGTTTAGGGTTTTTGCTGCTGAGCTAAATTAAAAAGCTTAAGGGCTGTCCGATCTTTTATATAACTTGGGCATTTTTATTTCCTGGGTCTAGGACTTGTACACAAGCCACTGGCGGCTACGTTGAAGAGGACGCATTCTGAAGCAGAGCCTGGAATTTTTACGTGGCCGCGAGGCTGCTCCCGGAAGA